ACTTAAAAATACAAATAGCAACAGCAACAAAATCACAGGCATGTTCTGGAGGGATTATTCCTGTTATGCATGTTTAGGGCTGAGGAAGGAAGGAAGGAAGGAAGGAAGGAAGGAAGGAAGGAAGGAAGGAAGGACGGACCCTTGTTTTAAACAGCAACAAAATCACAGGCATGTTCTGGAGGGATTATTCCTGTTATGCATGTTTAGGGCTGAGGAAGGAAGGAAGGAAGGCAGGAAGGAAGGAAGGACGGACCCTTGTTTTAAACAGCAACAAAATCACAGGCATGTTCTGGAGGGATTATTCCTGTTATGCATGTTTAGGGCTGAGGAAGGAAGGAAGGAAGGCAGGAAGGAAGGAAGGACGGACCCTTGTTTTAACTCCTTGGTGTCAGGCTCCCTGATTCTAAAATGGCAAAAGCTGCCTAGACAGGCTACAAAATAAAACTATTACTGCATAGTAGGGTGAAGCCACTTAAAACAGTTGATTGTTCTCGGTAAACATGAGCTCTTTTTTATATCCTTTGAATTTTAAATCCAGCATGTGGTTTTTCCCTACCTTTTCCGTGGCTTAATGGACAGCTTGCTTTTAATTTCTCAAGCTTGGCAATGAGTGGCAGTTGAATATGCTTGTGAGAATATTAGATAGTGTTTCATCAAAGCTGTGGCTAAAGAGCTTGTAGGGAGTAATGGCTTGGAGGAATTGTCCAAAGAAGTTATTATTCAACCTAGAATTATGTCAGAATAGAGGTGTTGTTAACCCCTTATAGACAGTGAATGTGGAGATAATGAAGAAGTTGTTTGTATCATAGGTATACTTATCTTAGAGGGTGTAATGGAACCTGTAGACAGTTCAGTGCTGGAAGCATGGCCAATGGTGTGTTCTACTCTGAAGATACTAAACAGAGTTAGTGTATCAGGACAGTCGGTGGACCTAGTCTTTGATATGTACAGATATAATTTTAAGGGCTTAAACTGGAAGCATAGAAACTAGCGCTACTCAGTCTAGACAGAATCATTGTTAAACATACAGCATGTGCAGTCCAATTACAAAGCTGAGAAATTAATGGCTAATAATCAGTTGAATCAAAAGGGTGGGAGGAAAAGGCTTAAGATTTAAACTCTGGGGCTGATAAATCAGAGGCATCTGCAGTGGGGGGTCAATAGCCTCAAAATGACTGGAACAAGCAAGCAGTTGAAGCCTCTTCCCTTTTTAATGTCTATTGCATACATCACACACGTGTAACAAGGGACAGGTTAAGTCTTGGCCTTTACATCTCTTAACCATTGTCAGACAATGTTTTTGAGAATTACAAATGAATCCAAGAAAGTACAGAATATGTCTTAGTAGCCTCTGACAGTGATATCTGAAAAAACCAAACTGATTTAAATCAAATGACACATGTATGAGGTGAGATAGCTTGTGATACTGAAGTCAGATAAGCTGCAGGAAAAAAAATCCCAACACAATTTAATAAAGCAAGATTTGAAATCTTGTTAGCACAAAAGGAACAGAAATCTTATAAATATTCAAAACCCTTAATCAAACAACTTAGGAAAAAAAACTGTTTGGAATGTTCATAATTACTTTAAGTGGCTTATTAATGCTATTTTATGATAGTGATAGTGCATTGGGGACATCTAATACTGTACTTAATTGTGTCACAGAAGCACACTAAACAATCCATGTTTGGTCACTTGAGATTATTATCCTAACAAATGAAAGCAGCACTTTCCATTATTAATAATTATTGGCATTTATGCCAATAATTGTTGGCATTATGGCTGGCTGGGGAACTCTGGGAATTGAAGTCCACACTTCTTAAAGTTGCCAAGGTTGAGAAACACTGCCATAGTGCAATTCAATTACTTACGTATATCTATATCTAGCCATCTAGTCCTCTAAAGTGACTGAAAGAGACTAGTTTGCCTAAGGGTGACAGATAATTTATGAGAAAGTATCATTTGAACCAGGAACTTTATGGCTCACTTTCCTATCCGCTATGTTATAGTGGCCAAATAGGCAAATAGCATGAATGGTTTTTCACCTCTCATGTCATGTTTGGATCCAGTGAACTGTAAACAGCAGCATTTTTCAGCAAACATGGTGGTGAATGTTGACCCCTGTGAGATCATATCCAAAAGACCATAGTCCTTGTCCTTAATTTCTTCTACTGACAATATTAATTCCAGGTTATTGCTGCAAATGCTAACTCCTGACCTTCTCTACCCATTAAAAATGGAAAGCTGTAAAACAACAGCTTTTGGTTGGATGTTTTTTGGTCAGGGAAATGTGTTCCTTACTAGGCTATACTCTTCCCTACTTTCCAACATTTTTCTCTTCTTAGTAGAAAGCCTTTAAATGTAAAAACTAACCACCCTATCAGTCACTCGTCTTCCTTTTTAAAGAAATATACAGAATTCAGTGGAGTTGTTTTTCATGTGGGCCTATGTAAGCTTAAATGTGTGTATAATGAAATATTTTACATGTATTTGTATGTCCTTTAAATAGTTATAACAAAGACTGAACTATTGAGTATAATAAAGATAGACCTACACAACCATAGGGTAAGAGGAATGGGCCACATCTAGGAAGCGCTTTCATTAGGGCTGCTAGATCTGGGCTGCAAAAATCCAGATGGCCTCCAGAGAGATGCAAAAGCATACAGAAAACTCTCTTTGCAGTCCCCTAGTGTTCATCTGACCTTTTGTAACCCAGAACTGTTAGCCCTACAAGCTTGTTTTTATATATATCTGGAGCCACAGTTACACCCTGTTTTGCAAACTACATAACTAAATGTTAGGATTTCTCAATTGTAGCTTGCAAAATAATGCCTCTGAGGATCTTCCAAGCTCATTTCTGTGTTCTTGGGCTGTTGCCTCAAACATCCCCGGCTTGTTGTATGCCCTAAACGCATATTATTCCTTTCCCTTTATTTGTACTATTATTATAATTCTTATTGTTATTTGTAATTCCAAATTTGAAGATAATTTGAAGAGTTGAGATAATGAAAAAAGGAGACAGGAGAGAGTCAAATGAAATCAGCAAAAAAATGAAAAAGAAAGCCACAATAACAATGACCGTTTCTGTATTATCATCTACACTAAATCTTGCAGCCTCAGGTTTGAGATTTATAGCAAGATATCAGTACCTCACGGCCTGTGAAACTCACAAATGCAACAAAATGACAAAGGAGGAATAGGGAGGTTCCATTTTCTTTGAAATTGCTAGTTGCCAAATGGTATGTTATCATTTATATTTTTTATAATGATATAAATGGGATTTTTACTTGATGGTACAGAACAGTCCTTTAGAACCTCTTTTCATCTAGTGCTAAAGAAGAGATCTTTCTTTGAAATTAGAACAAAACAAAGAAAACTTTTAAAAAGATGACAATTACGGAAGTGTACATACATCCCCACCCTACCCAATAACACAGATGGAAATGAACACTTTAGCATGACAACTTTAAAAGAAATATTAGGCGTTTAAAGGAAACTTTACCTGATTTGCTCTGGGGAGTACATCTTTTTAAAAAGATGTCTTACTATATTCTTGGTGGCTGCTAGATCAAAACAGGGACTTTGGAATTCTCAATACAGAACAAAAGGCATTGATGTCAATGAAAAATCTAAAGATCAAAGAGCAAGAGGAGCAGGGCTTTCAAAATCTGGCCTTCTGCTTAGCTTCTTCTGTTCTGCTTTTCGTGTCTGCTCAAGACTTTGTAAACTTTACAAAAGAGTGTCTGATATTTCAAAAACATTGGATGCACTGGCCTCAAAACTATCTGGGCCTTACAAAGAGGCAAATTCCAAGAATAAAAACCACTATTTTGTGAGCAAAAGTCTATTCACATGGTCTTTCTCTTCTCCTCACTGTGGCCTTCCTTAATCCCCAAGGGTCTTCTCAATCCTTTTTGGAGCAAGACGAATTCCATCACAGTTATGCTTAAGGAAGACATTCTCTAAGCAGGCAGAAATGTTCTTGAACCCAAATTACTTCTCTGATTCTTTCATGACTGTCCTGGTAGGACAGCAAGATAGAAATCTTAAATCCTACTTAAAAGTATCAAGCTTGAAACTATAGATATTCTATGGCTTGAATGAGTGATGGCAGTGATGTTGAAGAGTGATGGCAGACTTTAACAGAGGCAAGTGAAAATTGTAATCAGAATGGAAATAAGTAAATGCATAAATATAGAAAGACAATAGAGTAGCTTTAATAAGACCCCCAGAGTATTCATTGCAGAGGAGAGATTCAAGGTAAGGGCTTCCTGCTCTATAACTAGGTCTTATATCAACTTTATTCATACAGTGGAAGGTCTTGCAGAATTTTGATTATTTATTAGTCAGATATTCAAATATTTATATCTCCCCTTTATCATTGGATTCAGGGTGAAATGTGTACAATAAAAACACTTTAAAAATTGTACCACTGAAGAGGATTTGGAATCTTCCTTAAAGATTTAGTAAGATTTATTCAGGAGAAAGAAGTGGAGAAAATGAAATTTGAGTTAGAACGATAATCTCTTTTTTCTATATATTGGACTGGGAATCATTATGGTCTAATTATCTGCTCCTCTCACTTTTGACTTATCATTATAATGTTGTTTAATATTTCTCCTTCTTATAATGAGGTGGGGGCTGCTTAACAAGATAAGTTACAGTGTTCCTTGAGAAGTATGTGGAGTATTACGGTATAACAATAAGAAGGAGAAAGGGAGAAAACTTTGTTTTCATGCCCAAAAGATATCCATTGCCTCCATAGTCCATAGAGTCTTCAACCATCTATCTACAGTATGATTTATTGAAAGTGAGAAGGGGGGTAGGGGGTGGGAATTGATAAAGAAAATCTTACTTTGATTCCTATCTCCAAATAGGCTTACTGAGATTTAAGCTATTGACAGAATGTAATGAAAATAATGTTATTTGCTGAACTGAGTTTACTTTTAACACACTGTTGAATGCATTTTATAAATGCTATATTTCTCTCTTTCCAACAGAGCAAGTATTGTGCAAAAACGAATTATTTATTTTCAAGATGAGGGATCTCTCACCAAGAGGTTGTGCGAACAAGGTACAGTGAACAATATTCCATTTCTGTTTCCATTCTTCTGGCTCTCTGTTGAATATGATCTGTCCACAACTTTTCTCTTTTAGTTGGGAGCACATATCAGCTGAATTTAAATATTTCTCAAAGTCATACTTATTTCAGGGCAAGAAATCTGGCAGATTTTATATGTTTTGGCTAGATTCTACTACTTCCTAAAGTAACTGCATCCTCAAAGTTACCTTTTGAACTTGTTTTTTGCTAGTATCTGAGAAATGAATTTTCTTTCAGAAATTACAATGATCTTGACTTTGACTTGATCTATGCTTAAATTCAGTAAACAAGTAAATCTCGGTGCTCTTCTGTGTAGGTCTTCCTTTGCTATTCATAACTAAAGCACAGGAAATGCTTATTGTAGAATCATTCTGAAATTTCCCCAGGCTGTAACGCTTACTGTACGCGCTAGGAAGTCTGACCAGTATTGTAGTCTTGGAAAAGTTTGTGTTAACAGCAAGCATTTCATGGGATTTAGAATGGAGCAGCAAAGGCAACCAAGCCCACATAAATGAGCATTGAAGTTTATTTACTGATTGAATAGAAATATAGAAAAGTTCAATATATATTTAGGCCTCCTGAAACAAATCTGACTTTTTCCACATGCCGAAGAACATATGCAGGGCTGTCATTTATGACTTCTGCTGGAAGTAGGGGTGGGGGGAGCAGAGTTGGCAAGCAAAATTGTCCCACTTTCTCTGATCTCTCAATACATGGAGAATATTTTGTGAAAGGGACGAACTTCTCTAACTGTAGTAACAAAGGTTAAGCAGATATTCCTTCCACATGTAAAGAAGATGGCCTTGAAGGACAGAGGGAAGATCCACTATCAAGGCAACAATCAGATAAATGAAACTTGAGCCCAGGCCAAAAAAAGTGGTTTGCAAAAACACCCCCCATCCCTGCCAAATTCTCATGAAGATAAAAGAGGGAGGAAAGGAAGCACATTCAGACTTGCAAGATTCTGTTACTAGAGAAGTTCCAATAAGAGTAGCTTTAGTCTGCATAATATCTGTTTCTTAGTCTGGTCTATCTTATAGGGATGGCACATATCTCAGATTTTTTTTTAAAAAAATGCATTCCTAGAAGAGGCTAACCTTGCCAATGAACGAATATGCCTGCTGAGAGAAGCAAGTGGCATAGGGGAAGTTATAGCCACTCATCCTCCCTTCATCTCCTCGGGTGCAGAGATAATGCAAAGTAGGCTTTTATGCAATTGCCACTATAAATTTGCAAGTTGCTTCATACAGGCTTATAGTGCCACTTTCACACTGCTGTTCCACACAGGGATAACCTAAAATATTTTGCCAGAGGAGAAGATGTAATTCCTTCCCTTTTCATTAACAGAAGCAAACTGGACAGGTAATTCAGCTTTACAACAGTGCTGGCCATGTTACAGTATTTCCACATTTTCATTTGTGTGAACAATTTGCTTAGAAGGATTGTAAAGTGTGTGTCCTTCAAATATTTATTTTCTCTTGAAATTAAATTCAAAATGCATAATTTTTATGCTGAAACCTTCCAGAGAATGCTTTCTGGATCTTCCTGAACATTCCTTTGTGCAGCATTGCAGAGGTAATTGCCATAAACTGATTTTACTTGTGGCTGTTTATTCTTTCAATAATAGTCATTTTTAAAGGGATTCCAAGGGAGATGACCTTTGTTTTTTCCCCTTTGACCCAAGGATCCTGGATTAGCATAATTTGGCCTTGACTTTGATACTCTTTCTTAAATATCCTGAAGTCTGTGCTCTAAGATGCTTAACTGAATTTAATAAACATGACATATCTGACACTGGCCAGGCTATCTCACTTTCTGAGTCTATTTAGAAATGCAGATTACTTTCAGTTTGAAATAGCTCTTTATGTCATAAAGGGTGAATGTGCTCAGTGAAGTCAGTGGAGCAAGTTACTTAAATGAAATTGAGATGTCTGTTTTCTGGTTCTGTATTGAATGCAGAAAAGTCAACGGAAGCATTCAAAGCCAACACAATTTGTCAAGAATCTGAATTGCATTCCATTTGTTTCTAAAAGAAGAAAACATTCTGCATCTAAACATTTTTGAAACTTGCTTTTTACAGCATGTTTTTATTTTTATTTCAAAGTTAAGTATTAGTATATGTACAAGGCATTTGCTTACATTTCATGTCATTATTTTCTACCTGTAATACCACTGGACTCTGCTGACACAGTGAACAGAGTTTTCATAAATTGACAGTTGGACATGCTGTTGCCTTCCTTTGGCACTTCCATTTCTATATGAAGGATTACTGTTTGGAAGTATACCTAGGAAAATTTATTTGTACTATCAAAACATAAACACCAATGGGAGAAGGTTTGATAGAAATATTTCCCCTAAATTATGTCTTTCAATGTTCTCTAATACTTTAAGGTGGGACCACCACAATGTGGGAAGGGAAAACAAGGAGCATCAATATTATTGATATTCTAGAATTCTACAACATAATACTTACGTTGCCAATATCTCCCCATCTGTACATGGCATTTCACTAACATATGGTACTATGTTTCAGGCCTCTTCACAGTAGGTAGTGTCATTTCAAAAAGGGGACTGGGAATCAGAAGGTTGATAGAGAAGAATGCAAATTTTGCTCCTGACTCCAACCAGGCAGAGTTTCAGCTGAAGCCATTTGTAAATAAAAGGCCATCTCTAGGTCCAACTTTAAATTCAAGGTCACAAATGTACCCTGCACTCAAAGGTGCGCATGCAGTCAGCTAACACAAATACCTAAAGTTGTGCTTTACACACAGAAAGATATATTGGCTTTCAAAAATATATTTGCAAAGTCTAGAGTTCCCACATTTTGCATACCAGCAAAGTTTGGTGACTTAATAAAGTTGAATTAGCATAAGTAATACTTCTTTTTCCTAGTTAATTATGAAACATTTGCTTTACCAGTGTTCTGGAGCAAAATTGAAATTCTAGTATTAAACTACATGAGGAAAACATCTTATATACGTATGCAGTCTTGCTTTTGACTGTAAAATACACTTTCTTAAAATACACTATTTTATTCCAACACTGATCCTATCCTACCAAATGTACTGCTGAATGTTTAACCTTCTTGTAATGAAATGGGAAATTATCTCCTAGGGAAGTTCATTCAGAACAAGAACCCAATGATTACTTATGCCTTGGTCACTTCCTATTTGGGTTATTGCACTGGTCCAGAATGTGATAGCACAGGAGGGTATGGGCACACTTTGGTATGCCTATGTAACACCACTTGTTTGTGAGCTTCAGTGGTTTCCACTAGTTTTTGGGTGTAATTCAAGGTGCTGGTTGTCACCTACAAAGCTCTTCATGAGTTATTTGTAGGACTGCCTGTCTCCAATTATTTCTGCCCATCTCAAGAGATCTGATGTGGTGGACATGCCCCTGGCCTTTCAGTCATGCTACCTGTGGACCACTGGTTATGTGCTCAGATTGCCGTGAGCAGTCTGTAGGCAACTCTTGAATCCATCGGTGAGTTTGAGAGGCCCAACTACATAAATTGTGAAAGAGCATGGTGAAATAGAAAAGCCAGATGGACCACATGGGATGAGTAGAGTAACTCCCTCTATCACCAAACAAGCAAGCTACTCCAAAGAAAAAGAAAGACACTGCTACCAGGAAGCCACATGGAATCTTGTGCCTGGGTTGACTTAAGAATATCCATTGTAACTGAGCAAGGAGAAGGAGCAACAAATACAGGCATATTATGCAGAAGATTACTATAAGAGGAAGAAGATGAACATAGGCCTTGGCCCCAATACTCATAGAGTCAAGTTTTCAGTATTATGTCTTATCTACAGTTTTATACTGAAAAAGAATCCCAACTGTCCTTTATATCATAGCATATTTTATATGTGATAGTGGTAGCACATACAGCCACTGACACATATCTCTTAGACTGCTTTTGACAAAAGAAAAACAATTCGCAAAAGATACTAACCTTGCCAATGAGCCAACTTGCCAGCTTAAAGAAGCAAGCAGCCATAAAGTAATAGATTCTCCAATCTTAATAGGAGCTTGTTTTATTTAAAAGCGGCATTTTAATTTTTAAGCTGGAATAGGACACTTACAGTAGGCATTGGTTCAGCACAATGTTCTAAAAGTTCTTGATTGGACAAGTTGGAAGTTGCTGTGCTATCCTTTCCTTATGCCTGGTATCTCTGCCTTAACAAAAGTATAAAGGAATATTTAAGAAGTTTATTGTGCTGAAAGTCTTGAAGCTATATAAGCTGAAACTATGCAGAGTTAATGTCCTCTGGTCTACTGTCCTCTTTTCAACCCATTCTGTCAGGAAAATATAGAAGCTGGAGACATTTGGATTAACCTAAGGAAAAATATTTTGTTGATTCCAATCTTGAATCAGTAAAATCAGATACTGATGCCTTCAACAACTGATTTACAAACTCAAATTGAACTATATCACCTTTAAATCTCAAATTCAGATTGGGTCTTGGCTGAAAGTTTAGATGAATCAGTTCTATGATTTCCAACCATGCCGTATTTATATCAGTTTTTTGTGGGTTAACAAATAGCTCCCAATAGAAAGTACTGAATGTATATATATATTGTTTATCAATGTTTTGTTCCAGATCCATCTTCAAGAATACTTACTCTCTTATCCATGGGAAAACGAACACATTGAGTGTGTGTGTGTGTGTACACAAACAATTGTATAGCATATAATTGTAGTCTAGTTGATTTATTCATCAGAAAAATTAAATAATTTTTAATAAATTATTTGTATTGGTTAATCAGCCTCATCAAAAAGGAAGAATAATGGTTTGGGCTTTGAAACCAATATTTATAGTACATATTCCTTGGCAAAAGCCTATGGTTACTTACAAAAGGAAAGATGGATGATATGGTACAGAAACGTTCTTGGCATTATGTAATACCACCTGAAACAATGGAGTATAGAGTGATGTGATGCAGAAATGTCATGTTGCATTGACAGGAAGAGGTAAATAACAGATGCAAGTAAGCAGACAGATGTAGATACTATTCTAGGTACACCTCCAAAGAAGAAACTCATGGTAGAACTGGATCCTGGGAAGTTGCTATACACATGCCTGTTTCAGGGTCCAGCCACCATCATCCTTGGGGATTTCTGACAGGCAAAAAGGACATAAGGTGATTTTTGCTCTGTATATGGTGATAATTCTGTTTCATTTAATGAAATCCCTCCACAGATGTGCTTATTGTCTTTGAATCTAAACAAAATCTGTTGCCTAGTGTCTTGTTAGGGCATGATGTATCATGTGTTACACAAAATAATGCCTTACATTATTTATTTCTTATTAGACTCAGCCATGGAAGGTGTGACAGATAAGCCCATCTTAGACTGCTGTGCCTGTGGAACTGCTAAATATAGGCTTACTTTTTATGGAAACTGGTCAGAGAAATCACATCCAAAAGATTATCCACGTGAGTATTTTTTTTTTCATGCTTTAGACGACCCTACATGTTCTTTCAAAGGACTTTAATTGTTTTGTGTTCAGATTTTACATATGCACAGAAAAGCAACTGAGCTTTCATACCCAAATGCAACACAATGGAAGATTTTTCAGTTGTTTTAACAGATTGTGAGATTTCAACTGCCCTCAGTTGTCACCCTATAGGGAAAATAGTAAGATAAAATACCATTTGAAAGCATTTAATGTGTAGGATTACAGACCTAATTGGTTGCTTATTTAACAACATGGCACCCTATTGCACACATGCTCTGTGCTATTATTTTCAATGCTGATCAATATTTTATATATACATTTAATGTAATATAGTCCTGATTCTTAGTGGGAAAAAAGGCCAGCCATTATTTGACTGTAGCTCCCTGTGTTAGAGATCCTAGATTTTTACCATATTTTTTTTTCAGTTATGTTATTGGACTTAACTTTTAGATCTTTAAATATTAGCTTCATATCAGTGGCAGTGAAGCCAATCAAGTAACCTGGAATTTTGAGTCACATTTATTTTTGCTTTAATAAAGATTATACAATAGGCAACATATTATTAAAGGCTTTGTGTGTAGTTTTATTCTTTAATATTGCCTTGTTCCCATGCAACAAGCTGACATTCATGCTGCCAGAATTTTGTCTATATATCAAATGTTATTGATATCAGCTTCATAGATTTTTGTCTCAACTTTATTAAGTTGAAGACTGTCTGGTTCAGATATAGAGCTGTGTGGGCTAATAAAGGAGTTTATATTGACACATTAAAATTTGTGCTTTGAATTTGTGACTATGTAGTTGAAACCATAGAGCAAATGAAAAGATTAACTTTTCCTACAGCTAAGATTCTATAGTGATTGTAGATGTAGGAGAGTATTTGAAATAAGATATCTATCAACTTTATAGTCTGCCTCTATTGGCAGGCTAAAAATAAAGTTATTTTGTTATTTGTAGGCATTTTTCTGAATAATGTGAGTACCTTGTTCTGCTGGTTGCTCAGTTAATGAATATGTATGAGTAGTCTTTTCAGCACAAATGAGACTAAGCTTCCTTTTCAATTATTATTTCAACCTGGCCATCACACTGCCCCTGGGAGTGGATTAAAATATCTATTAAAGACTATAAAATCACTTATAAATATCATAGTATTTGTTACCTAATATGACCCACAAATCTTTGCAGCTCATCTTCAGCGTGCATGGAAAAGTGGGTTGTTAGATGTGTCAATTAGTTTGATCCTACTTTCTCCTTGTGGCCAGCCAAAGTCAACAAATGGGCATGGAGAAAGTAAGATAGCTGGCATGCTTCCTGAGGGGCATGCAGAATACAGGAAGATTTTCATTCAGCAGCTACAGTTGATTTTACACAGTTAAAAGAGTGGTGGATTTAAATCCAGGATGCAGTCATTGAGAATTCCTCCACTGATTTAGTATTTTTATAGCCCATTTTATTTCAAGGGAATATTGCCACCAGTTTTTTTTTTTTAAGCTGTACCCAATTAGATTGACCCGGACTCGAGAGACACACAAAAGCACTGGACCCTGGATGGGTCGTTTCTATCTCCCTATAAGGGTTGGGGAGAGGTTTTATTTTGAAAAAACAAACACATAAAATGATCTGTGAGTACTTCCTATATTCCGTTCTATTGCTGTTCTATACTATTACTATAACAGTTACTATATTTTATACTATTACTATTCAATTACTATTACTATGACAATGTTTATTCTATATAGTATTACTATTCAATATATTATACTCTATTATTACCTATTACTCTATTATACTTACCTATATACTATATTCCATACTATTATATTAGATTTTATAATATATTAATATATATATTAATATATATATTATTTATTATATATAATATATATAATTATATTATAGTAATATAATTATATTACTAGTATGTATCAATGATATATTCT